TATTCTGATGACTGACATTAATAATACATTAGTATTAAAATGCAAATGATTACTTACCCTCGAGTGCCCATTCGCATGCCTCGCTTTCCGCCATCACCGGGCCATCTGAGCGCCTAATCGGCCATGTGTCGCGAATTTATCATAATGATAAATTCGGACGTGTTTCAGAATTTACTCGTATAGTAAATTCAAAGGTGGAGCTCATGTTGGTTATTATTTCACCCGATTAGCACGTTTGACGCCAGCTGACAGCCGGAAATTTTGTTTCAGATTGCTTGGCTGCCAGCCGGGCTGTACTATAGTATACTATTCATTCAAAAAATGTGCGCATTTCGGAGACTGGTTCTAGAATGTTTCTAGAAAGCAGAAAACCACCAAAATTACATTAAATTTTCCGAAAATCATCGAAATGCATCTAAATTCATCTTCCCAATGCATACGGCTAGCTATGCGACAGGTAAATAAACAAGAAAAAAAAATTACAGCAAAGAGAAAATTGAGAATTATTCGCGCTCACTCTGAGATTCGATCTCACGACCCTCGACATACACGCCGAGTGTTGTTCCCCTGCACCACCATGTCTTACATGGAAAATATGTTAATTTATTGTATATATAGAGGTTACTCTTAGCCAGCGCGATTTATGATTGCGTAAATACGTACACCATTGTACACAGCCAAGGGTACAGTACCAGCGGAGCCGTATCCACTCTACTTAGTACAATATTTACAATACATCATGGCATAGATCACGGCTACCAGCCAGGGTTATTTAACTGTAATACAATACTACAATGCAATACAAGTGTCAGCCGAGCCTGTCGGTAGTATACTATAGTATACTACAATACAATCACGGCTACCAGCCAGCAATACGGCTATCAGCCGGGCGTGACTGTAGTATACTATACTATACTATACTATACTATAGGACCTATAGTGTACTACAAAACATCACGGCTACCAGCCGGGGTTATTTAACTATAATACAATACTACAATGCAATACGACTGTCAGCCATGCCTGTAAGTAGTATACTGTAGTATACTACAATACATCACGGCTACCAGCCGACCATACCGGCTATCAGCCGGGCCTGTCTGTACTAGGGCAAGGGTACTAATTCCGACCGGCTATTTACACCCGGAGAAAGGAAAGCATTAGCGAAGTCTAAAGTTCATCAATTATCGTGGGCGTGTGACTATGGTTCATGGGTGGACCTCCTCACTGATCTCAAAAATATGGCTGTTTGGTAGGAGTGGGATAAGCAAGATTTCAATTTTCAAAAGCATATATTTGGAAAATCACATTTCACACAATGACCTTTGAAGCAATTTTTGTTTGAAGAAATGAGAAGAATTGATTTACTATGGGAATCGTGAAATATAGTGCAAGTATGTTTATATAGTGCAAGCATGTTTATATAGTGCAAGCATGTTTAATGTTTATGAATGTTGTTGCTTTTAATAATTTCTTGCGTATTAAAAGTACATGCAGCTTTCCTTTTCAGTCAAGCTGTAAGTTTCCTAAATTACGCTGTTTAATTAATTTAAGAAAAAAAGGTAAAATGTAAAGGAGAGCAAATTAATTTGAAGACCTAACTGAAATTACTTCACAATTTGAACTTATTAAGTATTAAAAACAATTCATGGGCAAAGATGACAAAAGCAGTTTAGTTATTAAAATGAACATTTCAAAACATTTTATGAAGCAGTTCAGTTTAAATTTTACATTAAATCAAAGCTCACAAAATGCAAAATAACATACCTACAGTACATAACTCGGAAATTCATTGTTATATAGTTAAAAGTAATAATCTTTCAACTATTTTTGGCGTGTTCAAAAAAATTTTAAATTTAAGATTGTCGTGTTCCCATGACAACACTGACGTAAATGTGAGCCTGCGTTCAGTGTTGACAATTACTAATACGGTACTTCATGTAAGTCAATGTTTGGAAAATATAGGCGAGGGGTTGCTGCATAAATGTATTTCTAGTTAGTGCTACAATAATGCCTCCAAAGAAGAAAAAATTGCAACTAATGTTATTGAGAATACAAATATGGCGGCCTTCCCTTCGAGTTTAGAGGCGTTGCTGGATTAGCATTTGAAACAACAGTCTGATCAATATAATAATCTATTCGCATAGTTTATTGATACAACTAAAGCTGATTTGCAATCTATTAAGCAAAGTCAGGATTTCCTTTCAGCAAAGTTCGATGACTTAGTCGCTCAACAAACATGTTAAAAGATGAAAACGACGAGCTTCGCAAAGTGAATAATAAACTACAAGAACGAGTGGGTGTCTTAGAGACTCAGTGCAGCTCAGCCGATGATGAAATTGAAAGCACAAAGTGCTATCTAGGAAGAGAATTGCTTGAATTTCATGGCATTCCAGAAAGTACTACAGAGAATAGTAACAGTCTTGTTATGCAAGTTGTGAATTTAATTGCACCTGAATTGAACATTTGTGAGTCGGATATATCAACAAGTCATCATCTGCCTGTGGGATGCATGAATCCGATCATCGTCAAATTTGTGAGACGTGATAACCGAGATACAATATATAGGAAAAAAAGAAATCTTAATTCAAAAAGTGCTAAGGATATTGGGTTCCAACAGAATAGTCAATTGTATATAAACAAGAGTCAAATCTCTGGTCATCCTTAATAAACTTAAAGAATTCAAAAGGCGTGTCCATTTTACATTTGTATAGACCCGGCAAGGGAAAGTTTTACTGACGAAAATGAAAACCAATCCGAAACCCATGTTTTTGCTTCACTGAAAGTTTTTGAGGAATTCAATGAAAAGTTTGATAATTAAAGGAACATAATTAATACACACACAACTTATCTTAATACTATCTTTCACTCGCTTTGTTGAACATGTGTGAATTGCCTTTTAATCAGCTTGATGATGACAGTTTTGAATTAGCTCTGTATGAGATGACAAATGGTAGGGTGAATCTTGATGCACACAGACTCGCATGCTTAAAGTTTAATCCCTTATCTTTCGATACTTACAAAAATTTATCATTATCCCAAAATATAGATCTGGACTCTAATTTTTATTTTGATATATGCAGCTGTGATTATTATACAGAGAGTGGTATAACTAAAACCATTCAAGACAATTGTGCATATTCAGAAGACTTATCCTTTTTTCATTTACATATTCAAAGTCTTGGATGGTATTTCGACAGTCTAGCAAATTTACTTCTCTTGGTTAACCATAAATTTTCGGTTATTGGTGTTTCTGAAACTTGGTTACAAGATTCGTCACATACATAAATAGCCTTAATACTCTCATGGGAATAATTTCCAAGAAAACAAAAATTTGTTATTTAATGGGTGATTTTAATTTGAATCTTTTGAATCATCACAGTCAACTTACTGTGGAATTTCTAGATATTATATTTGGTTATATGTTTTTTTCCTTTAATAACGCTTCCAACAAGAATAACATCTCCAACAAGAATAACGTCACATACTGCTACGATTATTGATAACATATTTACCAATCACTCAGATAATTATTCTTTTAATGGCGTATTGGTCTCGGATATTTCCGATCATTTGCCTATATGTTCGCGTCCGCGTTGTATCGGATATACAAACTCTCGCCTTCGGCTCAAGTTTGTATATCCGATACAACACGGCCGCTCATGTTGTAAATAACTTAAAAAACGACTCATCTTATGAGTTCATTGGCGAAGTAATTTTAAAAATAAACTTTGTCTAAGCCGAGAAAATCAAAGTTAAAGTTTATGTAAATCAACATGAATCTGTATCACATATACAGATACGACACGCTTATGATTTTTCTTTGTGTTTTCTTCATGAATTATTAATGAGTTTTTTAATCTGTGTTACTCTATCACAATTGATGGGATAGGGATGATGACACATGTATAGTATTCCGTGATAAAAATGCAACAAATGCAGCTAAATTCCTACATCATTTAAGAAATGTTAATTGCCAAAATTTAGAAGGGTTTTACAATCCTCTAAAGGCATATGAGAGTTTTTTAATCTAAATACTGTGAAACATATAATAATTGTTTTCCACTAAAAAGGGGGAAAAATCACCCGGTTAGCGGTAATCTAGCCAGTATAAATACTGTCAGATTGGTGAGACAGGCGCAGTGTTTTACTAGACAGATTACCAATCTTGCCAATCTGAGAACCTCACCAGAAACTAGTGCCAGACTGCCGTGTGTCAACACAGCGCGTTCAACATGGCGACCAACAAGCAGTGCGAAGTGTGAACAACAAACATGATGGTGAGTTTGTGTGTGCGATTGCTGCAATGCCTTGATGGTATTTTGCTTGGCAATGTATACAGCTCTTGCTGCTTTTTGTATGTATGGTAAAAGTGGTTCTGTGTCAAGCTTTAAAACGAAAATATGAGAGTTTGTGCTATACATGAAATTGAAAAATCATATATTTTATACTGATTATTGCTGTAGCGACGATTTCTAATTATTTATAGTATCGAATTTCAATGGCATGAATTGAAGTGAACATATTTAACGCCAATGTATGTGAAATTTGCTGTCAAACAATACTCAACAGCATAAATATTAATAAACACATTACAAGTCTGAGGTCTTCTAGTTTACTATGTTTATTTTATATGTGCAGTACTGACAAACGTTTCGAACGTATATTATAGCAGTGAAATATATATTTACAAAGTGAATGCGTTGGATATGTGTGTATTATGCATGAGTCAATTCCAACTGCGATCATCCTCCCCCCGGGCGAACCCCCGGGACTTGACCAGAGGTTAATCCTGCATAGGCGGGAATTTGATGCGAAAACATTCCCGCACTGTCGGGCATTTGACCCCTTTTATTTGACTGATCACTGGCGCAAAATTGGCCAGCGGTCGCGCTAGCTAAGTACTTGGTGTAGATGAACCTTGACAAACGCGATTTGTTTTCACGTGTATAAAAAACACACTACACGGGATAAATAGTTTTAAAGTTTTATGTATAAAAATGCCGCTGTATAAAGTTTGGAGCTCCACCAGGGAAGTTAAAAAGGCTGTAATTGCTTGTTCTTTTACAGAATTTGTTTTAAAAGGTATGTGTCTTTATGATATTTTATAGATAAAAACTAGTTGAACTTGCAATGGCGAGCATTTAAAAAAGAAACGGCATTGCTGTTTTGAGCCGATCATTTGAAATTTTAATATATAAAATAGCTTGTTAAATTATTGTTTTTGTATGGTATATTTGTACAAGTGTAGAATTTAATATTGTTTATTGTCTTTATTATTTCCTCATTTACAACAATTACAAAAAACAAGCGAGTTTTTCATGAGCTATTTCAAATTGTCAAGTCTTTGCCACTGACCTGAATGCTAGAACTGGATGGAGTATTCTTTTAAATTCAATATTAAAGTGTAGCCATTTCGAAACGAGAGTATTTTGAAAAGAAGAGGATATAAATTATAACATATATCTATTTAATAATACTATTATACTTTAATGTTTTAATATTTTGAAATAATAGGGATATGCATTTTAATCACATTTTTCAATATGCTATAATATTTTTTTGTATTTTCTATATTACTATATGTTTTCAATATGTTTTCATATATTTGGAAAAAATTAAAGCCTGCCATTTGAATATACAATAAAATAGGCAAAGAAAAGCTTGGTTTTTCAAAAGAAGAGGAAGTGAACATCTATACAAACGATGATGGAACTGAAGTAGAAGAAGATACGTTCTTAGAGTTTGGATCGGCGACTATATTTATTATGACACGCAAAGAAGACCCTGCTGGTGACAAGGACATTGAATCTGCTATCATAATGGATGGTATGTTATTGTATTGATTAAATATTATATATCAAAACAACTGGCGATTTTCATTATGAATGGTCATACAACTTTAAAGCAACACAAAAATAATCCTACACTAGAAGACTGTTATTACAAAAGTATGTTAGTACTAGCGTACGTACAGTTAATATTTTGCGGAAAAAGTGGTACAAAATAATGTTTTACTATTCTATAGATCAATCCGGTCAAAAGGTCCTCAAAGCACCCAAACACCTAAGCGAAGATATTGTCAAAAAAAACTCCATGATTTTTGGATTTAACAAAAAAAGTGCTAAACTGACTGCTTGGCAAGAAGCTGTCAATAATGCTGCATTTCAGTTTGCCAAACACGATCCAGACCTGCTATATAACAGGGCAGAGCTAAAAATAAAAGCAGAAGCAGAGGCTCGTAAAACATATGTTTTCAAGAAACCATCTGGATCTCGTAGCATTCACGTTCAACAAGAAAGCGGACCAAAGCCGAAAAGATCAAAAACCTCTTCAGACGAGCGAAAAGAACAAGTTTCGTCCGTCTCTATTCAGCTAGAACTAATCAAAAATCAAATATCCTCAAAGCAACAGTTGTGTAGCAAAGCCAGCGCAGTAAAGGACTTTGCTTTGTGCTCAAAAGTCCAAGGAGAAATGAGAAAACTGTTCCAAGAAAAAGCTAATCATGAAAAGATGCTTAAAATGCTGCAGACCAAGGAAAGGAAGAGCACTTGGTATCAAAAAAAGAAATACACTACCACCTGCCGAAAGTAGTTCCAGTTCGACAGTGGATATAAGAAGCCTGTTCACCAGACAGCAGACATCAAACACCTCAACGTGTTCTACTTCAGTTGAAAAACTAATTTATGATGACAAAGAAGCTGAACTTTACACTGCCATATATATGGCAGAGATGGAGAAGATTGAAGAGGGCGTTTGCACCTACCAAAATTCTGATGAAGATGTAGTGATGATTTCGGCACCTGCCGATACATCGGACAACCAGCCATCTGGTGATGAAATGTTATCTCCAGGTCTCACAAATAATCTGCCATCTGGTGATGAAGTGTTATCTCCAGGTCTCACAAATACCCACGATCTGATGACCGTTCCAGTGTTATCAACCGAGCAATCGATATCGACTTCGACTAGTGTGGAAGAAGCTGTCTTGCCTATATCCCCAAGTACGGCTGAAGACGAAGTAATGATTTCACCGCCCGCTGATACATCCAACAAATATCCATCAATTATAGTTCAACTGAATGACAAGTCTGGTGATAAAGTGTCATTTCCAATTGTCACAGATACCCACGATCGGAATACTGTTCCAGTGTTATCAACCGAGTAATTGATATCCACTTCGACTGGTGTGGAGGAAGCTGTCGTGTCTATATCCCCAAGTACCGTTGAAGACGAAGTAATGATTTCACCGCCCACTGATACATCCGACAAATATCCATCAACTATAGTTCAACTGAATGACAAGCCTCATGGTAATAAAGTGTTATCTCCAATTGTTAAAGATACTCAAGATCAAGTAGCTGTTTCAGTGTTATCAACTGAGCAATCAGTACCCAACAATACAAGTTCTCGAAATGACGGATCTAACAATTTTTTGTTATAGAAGGTCCTCCAACTCAAAATATTAGTCGGGGGACCGAATGTGATAATATTAAAACAATTGAACAGCTTGTATCAATTTTAAGACGTGAAGAGAAAAAGAGTCTTGTAAATTGTACCGCACAAAAAGTGTCAGGGAATACAATAACTGTTAGTAAATTTGAAGGACTAAACTTAAATCAATATTCACTAGCTAAAGCAGAGAACTGTCGTCAGTACCATGCTGTCTGCAAAAGTGGTTGCAAGAAAATGGTAGATGCTGCAAACTATTTACTTCAAAAGAACTGGATACCTTTGCCTAAGCTATGGAGAACATGTTTCTCATTAAAACGATATGATTGTGATAAGGCTCAAAGAAGGCTGCTTCAAATGCCAGTGGCATGTATTCGATTAAAAAATGGCGTAGTTGTGATCGAGAAGAACAGTGATAACTGCTATCACGGTGTAATTTCTGAAATAAATCAAATCTACGATATGTTACCTCTGACTGACAATGTTAAAAAGGAAGATCCTATAAGGAAAGATGAGTGCCAGGACTTGCTTAAATCAGCAACATCAACATCTGAAGTTCAAAAAATAAAGCATGTCATTGCAAGTACGCACAACATGTCTCAACGCGAAGCACAGCGCCTAGGAATACGACGTCTAAAGCAAAGAGCAGCCCAAGTCGAAGATGCTACAGAGACAGTCAAAAATATTAAAAGTAAGCACAACTACTTCGCAAAACTTGAGCAAAAAGCGTTCCTGCATACACATGGTCTTGATTTCGAGCTCTACTTGTCAAGCGATTCATCAGACAGTTCAGAATGGGAATCTGAAGACGAAGAGGTTGTTGAAATTAAAGAAAAACCTTCGTCGCATACTCTCTCAGCATCACTGGACATTGAAGAAAGATTGGAAAAGTTGTAGTTTATCTTCTATTTTATTAACTAGTTTCTAAGTATTAAATATAAGGTAATCTCAGTTCGTGTTCGACTGCTACTTGATATATATTTGTCTGCTCCAGAGTCATTAATCATCTCAAATGTCAAACTGGGCGTATGAATATATTAACTAAATAATACGAATATATTAACTATATTACATCTTTTTTTGTTTCGATCATGAGGTATATATCACTATGAGTTATGAAGTTTCAGTTCGATTCAAAGGTTCAAGCGATCAGGTGGTTTGATAACTCTTCCAAAACGAGATCTTGGTAAACCATGTTGTCTCTCGTGGTCATCTTGGTGATCTGTAACTTGACTTGGTTTCACAATTGTTTCTTGCCAATTGGTTTGTTCTACGATGGTTTCTTGCTGATTGATCGGTTCTACGATTGTGTCGTATTCATGCTCACTATCTGGTTCTTCTTTCACTTTCAGAAGATGGCGACGATTTCTTCGATAGTTTCGTCCATTTATATTTACCATGTAGGACCTTGGATAACTTGTCTCGTTTATTACAGTTCCTTTTTTCATGTATTTCCCTTTGATGTCTGTGACCCGCACCACATCTCCCTTTTGCAAATTTGGAAGAGGTTTAGCTGTGCGGTCATAGTACTTTTTGCTTTGCTGTCGATAATGTGATAAGCGTTTCGTAACTTCACTGGGCTCGATGACAGATGGTTTGAGCAATGTATCACTTATTGGGAGTAACGTTTTCGTTCGTCTGGCCATCAGTCGTTGGGCGGGACTGCCTAAAATGTTATCACGTGGTGTATTGCGATGACCAAGCAATGCAAGGTAAGGATCTTCATTGTTTTTCTTTGCTGTGCTGAGAATTTTCTTTGCTGTTTGAACCGCTCTTTCTGCATACCCGTTGCTTTGGGGATATCTTGGGGAACTCGTTTTATGCTCAATTCCATATTCAGCAATGAATTTCTTGAAGTGGTGGTTATCATATTGTGGACCATTATCACTCATTAACTTGTCTGGGATTCCATAACGGCTGATGTGCATCTTGATCTTCTTAATGATTGTCGTGGCTTTGATGTCTTGGAGGTGATCTATTTCGAACCAGCCGGAGTATGCATCAGCTGTGAGTAAGTATATTTGCTTGTCTAATTCGAAAAGGTCTGTAGCAATATGCTGCCATGGTCGTGTCGGTGGACTTTGTACGAGGAGTGGTTCTTTTTGGTGTTGGGGTTTTGCTTCATTGCATGGCTTGCATTTCTCCACATGATCTTGTATGTCTTTCGTCATGGTTGGCCAATAAACTGCTTCTCGTGCGCGCCGTTTACATGCCTCTGCACCTCGATGTCCTGAGTGTACCGAATTGAGAATCGTGTTAATCATCGAAGCAGGGATTACAACTTTCTCTCCTTTGAATATTATGTCGTCGTAGATAGAAAGTGTTTCAGAGAAGTCCCAGTAATGCTTTATGCTTGGATCTACTGCTCTTTTTTCTTTTGGCCAACCTTCCAGGATTATTTTGCGTAGTGCTGTTAGTGTTGGGTCAGCGAGTGTTGCCGCCTTGAGTTGTTCACTCTTCTCTGCGGAGAATGGGATGGTTGCATGAACCGTTAGGTCTTCAAATTCAGTTTCTTGATCTGTGTTGTTAAGACACGCCCGACTGAGGGTATCTGCGATGTGGAGCTGAGTTCCTTTCTTGTAAGTCACTTTCAGGTCGTATCTTTGGAGCTTAAGAAGCATGCGCTGTAACCGAAGTGGGCTTTGGTAAAGCGGTTTCTGGAATATTGACTCCAGTGGTTTGTGGTCACTTTCGATCTGTACTGTTCGTCCGTAAACGTATTGGTGAAAACGCTCACAGGCATACACTATTGCCAACAACTCTTTTTCTATTTGTGCATATCGTTTTTCGGTGTCGTTGAGAGTGCGTGAGGCGTACGCCACTGGCTTTTCATCTTGCAAACACACGGCACCAAGTCCATATTGGCTGCTATCGCATGATATCTTTACGGGTTTGTTGACGTCATAGTAGACTAGTGTTGGTTGACTTGAACATGCTGTCTTCAGGTCATCAAAACATTTCTGGTGTTCAGGTTGCCATGTCCATCCGTTTCTCTCTTTAAGTAGATCTCTTATGACGCTTGTATTCTGCGCTAGGTCAGGAATAAATTTAGCCAAATAGTTAACCATTCC